GAAAGCCGCTGGGAAGTGAGCGAACGGCTCCGAAGTGGGCGTGATTGGAAGTCGGCCGAAGGGATTGCAGCCGACTCAGCAACCACGCACTTCGAAGCCGTTCAGCTCCATTCCTTTTTCAAGTTGAGTTTTTTGTTCAGTCACTTCTTATGTTCTTGACTAGGGCTAGCGCATCGCTCCACACCATAAATGTTGAGACGAGTTGCTTAAGATGTCGAGTCGAGACTCTGGCGATTTGCATCGGCGCGATTGCTAGATAATGCAATCGCAGAGTCTGACCGACATCTAAGTGGTGCCCATTCGTGAACCGTAGCTATATAAATGTTCGTGGCAGGATATGATGAACGCACAATCTGAATCACAGAAGCGCTATGAAACCACGAACCCCACCACGACACGTCATGAGCTGCGGTTAGCACTAACCGACGCGCTCATGCTGTCCTTCGGCCTGGACGGAAGAGTTAATCCCTCAAAAATTGTCCCGAGAAGTTCTGCCTCAAAAAAGCGTTGCAATGCAAACGAACAGGAAAGCAAAAAATTAAGACTCCTCCCCGCTCTCCGAAGAGAAGCTTACATCAAGCAGCATCTGTCTGGTTCAAATCGCAACTTCAGCGCATTTAAAATTACGATGAAGCAACCGGGACGGTTGCAGTACATTTCGCGAACACGCAAACGGCACACCTTGCTGTGTCCGTAAAATAGTGATTAACCATTTACAATTACACATAACCAACCAAATTCCATTTAAGAATAAGGTTTGTCATGACTTTTTTGCAAGTGCAAAGAAGGAGCTAGTCTGGACCTTTCAAGAATCGAAAAAGAGAACGAAAAGAAGTTAAAATTACAAAAACTACCGAAAGGTATCAGTACTTGTTGCGGTTTGGAACCACAAAGCGATTATCCTCAAGAAGGGTGAATCATGTTTATAGGGCGAACAATGACAAACAAAACAAATATTCGGAAGAGCACATAAGAAGTTCAACTTCTATCGTAACAAAGCAGTAACGTAGAGAAACACAGGGAGTGTACAAACAAACATTTTAGAACATACACTCTCATCACCTTATACACAGTGTACTTTCACTTCTCAAGTGGATGGTAATTCAGGAGCTTCTCTATCAAGTCGACGTGAGACAGCAACATTCGGCGGCAACAGTATCGGCGCAAATTCAAGGCGTCAAGAGCATCACCTAAACCGTCAGACTTAACAGCGGAGAGCGAAATAGATGTAACCATAAGAATAAGTGAATTTATATTCTTTCTTAAAAACGAGTTTGGCCTGACCCATCCATATTAATTGAACTGCCTCGAGAATGACAGAATGATTGTCTTCCTAGAACTAAATCGATCCCTGCCAGATGGCTCTCTCTAGCAACAGCTGCGAACAGCTATAGGTCTGATCACTGTCGCCGTACTTACTTTGCTGTACGTCGTGTACGACCAAAAAAGAGCAGTGCTTTAAAATCTTAATAATCCACCTTCACGAGCGTTCTTTTTTGATTTTCTTGTGTGTGGTTCGTCAACTTCGAGTGCTTACGCCGGCCAACCTCCATCCTAACTTGTCGCAATACGGCTCATATTACCGTATATTACGCATATTTAATTCGTATTATCAATTTCAAAGGAAGCAAAATACGAAAAGCTTTCAGCTACACTACCATGGCTCTGAGAGAAAGCTTGACAATATTTCAATATAACAAAGTATCCTTAAAAGGACGCGTATCATAAAACTGTAATCACCTTCTGTATATTCTGCTTGTAGAAGACCGAGGTAAGCCTCCCACTTGTTACCGATCACTTTTCCACATGTGAAGCAGCGAATTGGAATAATCATTGCTCACTGAATTCAACATATTACAAACGACGCTGCGAATTGCAGACAATGAAAGGAGAGCGGTATCTAGCGATGACACGCAGAAACAAGAACGCAAGCTCTGTGCAAAAGAATTTATTGCAAGAAATGAGATATACAGTACACGTTGGCCGATAAGTAACAATCACGTCCACCAGTATATGGTAACAAGAAGACAAGTAACGAGCAGAAAATGGAGCTGGCCACAGTTACGCTAGGTGAAGCATCGCACTGACGATCAGAATATATCACTGGAACCAATTTGGCAGCGGCAGTGAAGGGAAATTCACAGTCTCGAACACGCATTGAACAAGCGGTTACCTAAGGGGTCATACATTGCGACCGCCTTGCAGTTTCAGTGTGCAATAGGTCCGAGCTCAAACTACATATGAGACGGCCCACAAGTTGACCACCCTAACTCACGAATACACGAGAAAGACAACAAATTGTAGGAAGAAGAGATGTGGTTGTGAATAATATGGATGAGAAGTATTCAATCTCTATAACAACAAAAGGAAATCAATACCGGATATCACAGAGCAATCACTAGTAATGAAAGGACGAAGACAGAATATAACAAAATTAAACGAAAAGTAGTGTCGAGAGCTTTCCACAGAAGTCGTAACCTTTCTAGACAATGGCTCGTATGCGCTCAGTCTTTTACCAATCGGGGAACCAAATTCTTCAACGAAGTGTCGGTCTGAGCCTCGCTCACACGTATGATCATCCGCTGGTCTCTAATAATGTCACCCCAGAGATAGCTTCGACAGCAACTGAAGTGAAGCACTATAAGCTAGCAATAGGTGCACAACGAAATGACACATGTAAAACTAAAACCGAATCTTTGTAGTGTTCACCTAGGACAATTCCCTTGCACAGGATATAGCCGTCGCTCGTTATTCAAGCTCTTCACGGCTAAACATTTAGCGTGAAAATGTGCAGCGCAAGAAAGGCATCGAACTAGTTGCGTGAGCTGAATATTGGCCATATTATAAGTAATGAGAATTAAAGTGGCGTTGTGTCCGGAAATGATCCAGCGAACCTTTTCAATATTGTCACCACAAAGACGACACTCTCCTTTTTCAACGTAGGCATCTTTTGCCGGTAATATTTCTGTGCACGACTTCTCTATCAACCCATACTTTTTGAGCACATGATTGGGCGGAGGAACTTCTGACGGAAACGGCAATTCCTCCTCCTAAAATCTAACACTGTGGTTTCGGTAAAGGATTATGCCCATCAAACGGGATAACTCATACGAAACTGAAATCATTACCGGCAGCAACCACCGAAAGGTGAGCGCAAAGTGATTCCAAGGCCGACTATTCATCAAATGGCACGCAATTCGTAGCCTGAAATATACAGTATGTGAATCTAGGAGTCCAGGCTTAAGGTTTATCGGATTACCTATCCAAAATCTTACTTTACTCTATGAACAGCAGAGATTGTATAACAGATGTTACAGGTTAACTTCTGCTTATGCGCCTCGTTGAAATAACACTTTGCTTATAAAATAGCCTTCACTAAGCTAAGAACTTCAGCATATATGTGAATAAAGCTTACC